CTGAGCTGTTGCTGCAACACTTATTTCGCTCAATCGCAATGCTGTCACTCATTATTTTAAGTATATCATCGTAAGAAAGAAACCCTAAGTCAGCGATAATATCACACAGATTAAATTTATTTTAAAAAATGAATTTAATATACTTTACATTAATTATTATACATATATCACAGTCGGTCGGCCCTGTCGGTAGTTGTAGAACACAAAATGTTTTTCTGATTTGCAATGTCAAAAATCATCTTAATCTGTCACAGGCCATCCTAAAATAAACTTAAGTGGTGTTTCAGTCAAGAAAATCTCGTCCACGTAATCACTTCTTTATCTATTTTAGCATCTTATCACACATGATTATGTAATAACTCGTTTCTCACAAGTGCCATGGATGTTTGGGAATAATAAAGTAATTATTGTGTCTCGTGGCACAAAACATATGTTGAGGGAAATTTGTGATTAAGCGAGAATAAAATCTGACATAAAAGATGTTTACCGCATTAGAGATCACCCTGACAAAAACAAATGACAATTTTCACAAATCGCAATCCCAAGTGTACCGGTAATAGCCGTTCACTCGTGATGCACACATAAATGCGGCAACTTCAAATATGATATTCAGAGCCTTGTAATTCCAGATTCAAAGCGCGAGAACGCCGATTAATTTTGAACTGAGCGGATGGGGACGGTGGGATGCCATCGAGGAAGATATTTTATAGTCTAAATTGAATAATAAGCCCACCTCGAGAAAATTATCATACTCGCCCAATAAGACGGCCCACCTAAAATCAGGCCAAAAATTTGAGTCTAGAAAAGCGACTTATTCGCCGGGAAATACGGTATATGTGATTTTTTGAATACACTTTCGAAAGTTCGGTTTTCAACCCTTTTAACTTTGAATTAGTGGTACTCCCGTAGTCTGTGTACCAGGTTAAAGTTAGACCATAATTTTATTCCGATTCTCCTTATTTTAGTTATATCACGAGTTTGGGGACTGTCCGTTTTAGCGAAGTGAATATACCCTCTGCCTATAGGTTTCAGTCAGTTTAAATAACTTGATGTAAAGTAAGCGAACAAAATTAGTTACCTCCATAATGGTACACATACATCTGGAGCGCCCTTCAACAATCAGTTTGGTCTTTAGCACTTCTAACCCTTAATTAGTGTAATTAAATCTTTAAATGTTTCTCAGCCATCGAGCTCTCAAACATAACCCGACACAAGCGCGTAGAGGGTTAAAATAACGCAGACCAAATATGGAATCATTGGGATTTAAATGGAAATAACAAAAGATCTAATTTTAAGTCTCGAAAGATAGATTTCAATCTGGTTGATGTAAAGATTGTTTATTGTAAGCAAACCATATAAAAGATAGCGATATGGTACGCGAGAAACGTTTCCAATAACATCAGACTGACATGGCCAAAGAACAGCTGCACTTTTGGAAGCTAAACTGAGCGTTGGATCTTGCTCGAAAAGTTAGTCTACGTTATGTTACTTTTTTGCGGAATACCAACGCGAGAAATAACAATGAAGAGTTGTTTTAGTAAATTGACAAAAGTCGTTGTTTTGTGAGAATGTTGGGACTGCTTGACGTGGATACTTACTTGATAGCTATTGTTGTAAAGTGGTATGGTTTTTTGAAGTGAATTTTTAACGATAATATTTTCGATTAGAATGTTTTTAGAAATATTGCAGTGTGGGGCTGTTTCAAGCAGATTTGTGGGCGCTCCAGTGTGTGTGTAACAATATGGACTACTTTTTTTGCCTACTCCATATCAAGTTGTGTAAAGGGACGGAAGCCTATGGACAGGGGAATTATTCACTTGGTTACAGACAGTACCCGAACTGGTACACACACTACGAGTGTACCGATTTTCGTGGGGAGTTTGTCATTAATATTTTATCACCATTGTTGGAAAGATGAAAGATTTTAAGGAGGACATGGGTAACGATACTATATATATTTAATTTCAATTTTTTTTTCAATTAGATTGCAGATGGAAGTTGGATAAGGTGAATGTGTGTATTATTGTTTTAGAATTTTGCTGGAATAAACGGGAGTAGCCTTTGGGATTTTTAGTGAACATTATCAATTTACCTACTGTATACCAAAAGAGAACGTCTACGAAACGTGCAGCGCCTAAAAAGTACTGACAGTTTTGGTAACCCGCTCGTTAAATCTCCCTTCCGTTTGAGATCCGCAAGTTTTTATGGATGTTAACCGTTTGCTTGAGTGCGGACCTCGACTATCAGCGGAGATCCTGGAAGCCTTTAGCGGCTTGTTACTTGTCGATCTTAAGATCGGTAAGTATGTTGATAGGTATTTGTCTGTCTGTATGTCTGTTTGTCTGTGTGTTAGATGTACGCGATATCTCACGAAAGCGAGATTGATTCTGCTCCAAATTTTGCATGTGCATTCATCATAGCTCGGATCAGGAGCCTATTGATTTTGGATGGATTATGTCTTATAATTAGCGAGTAATTAAATAATTAGTGATGGGACACACGGTGTCACTATGGAGTGAGACCACTGTTTTGGGGGATCCCCTAACTTTCGATCGATAAGTCTTCGATTTCTAACCGATAATCTAGTTTTATTATTCGCTACACTCCATTTTCAGTTTTATTAACTGAGGCTTTATTTAGAACAAACGGTGCCGATTTTAGACAGTATGGTCACTGTACTCCGCCGAATGCTGATATTCTACATCACCAGTCAATTCTAAGACATAACGAAATATATCAGTTTTGCTATCATTGGTATCATTGATTTTAAATCACCAGTCAATTCTGATACATAAGGATTATATCAGTTTTGTTGTATATCTCTAATATTATTATAAATAGGTGAACTGTAGACAGTAACTTGTAGACAGTTATTATTTCAGATATAATTCAAATCCTGAGTCAAACAATTTATATTAACATGTTTAAAATTCCTCAAAATATCAAAAATAATTACAAACGTCCAATGATAATCCGACCCGGATTACATCAGATGAATAACTTACTTAATAACTTACGATTTGTGAATTTCTGAAATCTTGCACGCTAGTATCCGATTAATTGTTGGAAATATGTCAAATCCGGTATTTCGGCACACTATCCACTTATCGCAGTATTTTATCGGATAGAAACAATCTGTTTATTACAAGTACTATGCTTGACGGAGGTTCTTACTCAATTGCTATTGATGAAAAAAGGAATGATTTCCAGGAGCAAATACCTAACGATTATATACTCGATTTAATATTTTTTAAATACTTGCAGGAGGGAGTAAAATAAGGTCAATGTGTGTATTCTTGTTTATTGGGAGTCTTCCTGGTATATTTTGTTGTTTGCTACACTCAAGTTTTAGTTCAACTATTTGGAGCTTTATCATAGAAACGTTTGAAATCATAGTAAAACGATGTCGATTTTAGACAATCCGGTCACTGTACTGCGTCAAATGCTGATATTTTACATCACCAGTAATTGTTTTAGATCTTATTAAAATCCTGAGTCAAATTTAAAATGCTTTAAAATATAAAGAATAATTACAGGCGTTAAATGATAATTCAATCCCGAGTACATCAGATGAATAACATATTTGCTTAAATCTATTTTTCACGATTTGTAAAATCATGAAACTTGGCACGCTAGAATCCGATCAATTGTTGGCAATATTCTAAATCTGGCACTTACTATTTATCGCAGTATTCCGTCGGATGGAAACAATCTGATTATTACAATTGTACTATTATCTCTTGTTTTTATTGTAAGTTATTTTAACCCTAAGGACAAAGATAAAGCACGATATATTACGCAAAACATTATAAAGTACTACAATTCAGGACGCTCCTGAAGTGTGTGTACCTATATGGAGGTAACTAATTTTGTTCGCCTACTTTACATCAAATTGTGTGAAGGGGCTGAAACCATGGGCAGGTGGTGTATCCACTTCGCTAACACAGACAATCCCCGAACTCGTAATAAAACTAAAATACGGAAAATCGGAATAAAATATGGCCTAACTAAACCTAACATGGTACACACACTCCCGGAGTACCCAATTCAGTGAAAAGCTCCTAGGTACTTTACCCATTTGTCAGGCAATGTACGTTATTACAGCAGGGGTATGTCTAGAAGGGGGCATAGGAGAATCCGCCCCTGTTATAGGGGTGTGTTTGTTGCTTATTTAGATGATTTGAATTAAATAATAATATTACGAACATTTCACTTTTACTTGATCTTTAATTTATTTATTCTCATGTATAGAATGGGATGGGGGATTTACATATTTATCCCAGGGAGAGGAAAGCCGATAAGACGGCTCATAACAACATCTATAATTTGTTTATCTGCCAAATTATTTTTGAAGTTAGGTATAAGGGGCGTCATTTTTAGAAACTCGCATCGGCCGCAGAAAAGTTTGACATCTCCTGACCTACAGTAGTGCGAAATGGATCTGTCTGTAGGAATGAGAATTTCGCGGAATTACTCCATTGGAAGACCCGTGTTTGGTCTATATGGAAAGATTTAATAGTTTTAGATAATTGTCATTGAGATGGTCATAAACGTTTGAGTCAAGAAAGTACACGACGAAGAAAAGCAACCAAGTATTCTGATTTCCTAAACTCGGGATTGCACTGATTTCAAAATTAAAGAATAACCAAGATTAACAGTGAGCAGACCCTGTGTTGTGAAATTTCTGTGCACGTAGAATTCTCTATATAATAGTCTTCAGAGTTAACCAAATTAGTAGTAATTAACTTCTAATATACAGGGTGTCCATAAAGTCCCTTTACAATTTCAATTTTGTTATGAAGTCAGTTCTCAATATATCTTAATCATGTTTTTTTTAATGAGTAATTTTTTTTTTTTTTTTGCTTCATTCAACACATCTGTGAGGGCGAAAACAATTAATGGTATCGATAATTATTAATTTCCCTTTGCAATTTCAAAATTTTTTAAGAATTAGGGACAACCTATATATTTTCATTATTTTTCTGCAACAGTATAAAAACCAAAACATAACTAAAGATTAGGAAGTTTCATAAACACACACAACCATGTACTCCAGTCTAAAACGAAGAGTTTCTCAGACAAGATCCGGAACTTATAAAAGAAACGATTGGTTTTTGGACTTTGAGAGATTACCTTGGATGGAATGGATGGATTTGCGTGAGTGTATTAAGATTTTACATGATTCAATAGTCTTTCCGTATATTATATCAAAAATAACACCATTTTACTCTATTCTCGAACGATTTACTGAAAAGGTGTACAACGCTATTCGCTATAAATGCTCAACGCGTAATTCACCGCTATAAATATTCGCTAGTAGTTTGGTCCAGAAATAAGCCCCCTAGGCCATATGCTTATGAGTGAACATGCGTGGTCTTTCTTATTTTCTTATGGGGAACATTTTAACATTCATTATGTTAGATATACATAATTCTATGCTGTAATTGTTTATCGTCTCCAAAGCATTTGATACTTTTATGTACACTCGTATTTTTGTCCGTAGTCTCCTCCCATACTAATTGACTGCGCGTGGATATGCTTTTAGCAACTTTCTATTGAAAAAAAAATATTACACCAACACTCTGCAACTTTCAGAACCGATGCGAAAGGGTCAATACGTGTCTCTACAGCTACTATATCCGATCTTACTCCAAGAAATCAACATTGCGAAACCTTCGAAACTGCTGCATTTTCTTATTGGCAAAGGCGTTTTAAGTTGGCAGGACGTTGTTGTCATCCAACATAACAGACAGACTGATATGGAAATGAATGCGTAAGTTTCTGTTTTATATATCAAAGTATATTGCCGTTCAAAATGAGATGTGATATGTTGCTATTGAGCCGAAACTATCGGACTGCCCTATAGACGCCGGTTGAATTTTAGATGTCAGAATCTGAAATTTCTAATTGCCAAGTTAGACTTTAACAGCTAGAAGTGTGTTTTCAATAGTCTCGATGATCTGAAAAACCGACAGATGGGTTTTCAACCACCTGGCTACGCCCCTGACACACCCGATGATACGCCTGGTTGCCGCCCCTAAATTATCCAACAAGAGAAGTCACATGGGCGACTATCACCAAGCTAATACGATCAACGCGGATATCGTTTATACAAATCCCAAGATCGCGGTCGCGTTCTTATAGCATCAGGAATTGTCAAAATTTATTTGTTTTTGTTACCCAGGCCATTTCTTCGTATAATTATGACAAGAGGTGAAACGGGATTTTATGGATTCCTGGATGCGCTTCGTTCCAGGCACGGAGGATGGCAGGGATACTTGGCAGATATGATTGACATGCACTTCAATCCAGCTATTGTCAGAGGTATTTGAATTGTAGATTTTCCTAATTATTTTGTAGTGAATGGAGGTTTGTATGAATCAAGTACCGTGTTTCCCCGAAAATAAGACCTAGCTTCTAAAATAAGACCTAGTTTATAGCGCGACTTTTTTTCTAGTCGATAGAAAAAAATCTCTCCTACACTTTTTTAAATGATTAATAATATATGTTTAGCAGTTATTTTAAATAAAAACGTGCTGTTTAGGGGTAAATAGCAATCGATTTTCATATTTTGTATATTCGAACATCTCGTAGTGTTATTTCTCGAAGGAAAATTGAAAAGAGACCTGCCCTTTTTCAGCGAAACACGGTATATATACAGAAAGATATGATAGGATATGCTCATCAATTACAAATAAGCTTGTCATTCAGAAGTCATTCTTATATACTATATAGCATTAAGGTCGATGAAAATAACTCTGTAGTTTAAACTAACGCAACTGCTGAATTTACGGAAGGAACTGATTTTTTACCATTTGCTTTAGCAAATAAGTGTTTTTCAGCCATGGCGAGGGTACGTACGACAATAGGCGAAGTAGAGGGCTAACTAGAAGACTTCTACTAAGAACTACTAAATTACCACAACGTCTCGGATACAGTAGCTTTAAGTCAGGGTGTACAGCATTTAATACAAGAGGGCCAGGTGCAAATAACCGGGTAAAGCCGCGGATCGCACATTCATTTAACATAGGCTTTCTAGTAGTTGTAGGGACAAAAAAATGTTTTTTTTTTCGATATAGATCTTATTGCATTATTAGGGGTCTTTGAAGAAATGAAGGTTAAGACGCATATATCACAACGTTTCAAATATACTAAGAGAACTCGGATATTGTGTATTGAACTGCAGGTCCTTTCTCCTTGTTTACTTTCTACTTCGGATCCGTATGTGGTACTCACCACAAGGATGCTTGAACGAGATAGTATTAAAGTGATAAGTAAAAATAACATGATCTCTTTCAACGAAATAGTAAGTATATTTGTGAGCTTCAACTTCAATTTCAACCCAACCACATCAGTTAGACCGACAGTTCTGAGATGATATGGATTAAATTACCATAGCATCTAAATCAGTTATAGAAAACTTAATTTTAAAATAAATTAAATTCTTGTGATCTTTATATTTACAGTTATATCTTGTATTGTTTGAAGAAGTTAGACCATGATCTAACGAAAGCTCACAAATATACTTACTATTTCGTTGAAAGAGATCATGTTATTTTTACGTTTCAAATATTGTATGCTTTAATCCTATTCCCAACTAACACAGCCAGAAAACAGCACCGTAAAATCTTTATTGTATTATTTATTGGTCTGCGCTTTCATATCATGGAAAATAAACCACGTTCTTTCTTCAGATCTCCTTGATGTATTCAAGATAGTTTGCCACGACTTGACACGACTAACACCAGCAGGGTGGTCAGCGTTACCAAGAGCTCTGGGTTTGTCTGTTGCAAGAATAGAACGCGTAAGTAATGTTTGTATATTTTACGGCGTTAACAGGTCTTCGCTCAGAACAAGGCTCTGTAGAAGCAGCCATTGATAACTAAAAAGCTACAATTTTTGGCTGAAAAGCTACAATTTTTGGCTAATTCTGCATTGTCTACCATAAAGTCTCTTTACAATTTCAACTTTGGTATGAAGTCAGTTACCAATATATCCTAACCTGGTTTGTTGTTTTTTAATAAGTAATTGTTCAAACATTTTCACCTCATTTATTACATCTGTTTAATTATAATACATCTATCACAAAATTTCCTTTGCTATTTTAAAATTTGTTAAGTTTTTATGGATATCCTATATATTACATTTTGATTGAGGCTGTGATAGATAGTTGGACACAACGCTTTATCTACTAGGCCTTGGTGCCAACTAACGAATAAGTAAATTCTACAACAGTTTAAGAAACTCGTGGCTTATGCTCGTAAAAAATACAATCATTTTGAAATGCGATGCAAAATATGACATCATATTGGTGACGTCACTGACAATTTTGTTTAAATTTTTTTTTTTGAAAAGCTTCGAAAAGTACGTTCAGTTTCAACCGTAGTAAATGGTTTGTGTCAAAGAAAGTATATAAATTTAAGTAACGACTGCAGAGACATCCTCGCAATTAAATACCTTTAAGCATTCAATGAACTTCGCGTTTTTATACGTTTAAAACGGCGCTCCAGAAGTATGTGTACGAATATGGATGTAACTGATTTTGTTCGCCTAATTTACATCAAGTCATGTGAAGGGACTGAAACCTATGGGCAGGGGGTATATCACTCGGCTAACACAGACATTCCCCGAACTCGTATTAGAACTAAAATAAGGAAAATCGGAATAAAGTTATGGCTTAACCCTAACCTGGTACATGTACTACGGGAGTACCTTTAATACAGTACATTATCATTATATTAGAAATTAAAATAAAAACTATTTTACATGATTTCAAATTTCGAACACTACATTAGGATAATAAAAAATTTAGTTTATTACATTACACACAGGCCAGAAGACAAAACAGACTTCTTGTGAACCAAGCTCTTCATTCGTTATTGCTGTGGAGCGGACACAGGGATGATAAAGAACATATCCTGAACGAATTGTTGATCGGTCTTGTCAAGATTCATAGAGTTGAGATTGCAGGTAAAATGTTTAAGAAAGCACTTAAAGAAAACTAAGGGGCGGATGAAAGTTCCAGTGCCATTGAAAAGAGAATTTATAGTTAATTTTTCAATTTGCCTAAAGCAAATAAAAAAATTCTAAAATTCTAAAATTTCTAATTGCCAAGTTAGACCGTAACAGCTAGTGCGAAAAGCGTGGGTTCATCAAGAGTCTTGAATATCTAAAAAGCTTTTCAAGCTACGCAAATTGCTATGCACGATACAGAATTTTTTTCACAATTTAAATAAAAGGGGAAGTCCGACACTCACCCTCCTCCCTGACTACCCCCTGAGCACATGTATGCGTAGTGTGACCTCGCTCATAGTGAAACATCCGGGTTATGCCCCTGAGGAGTTTAATTAGTGAAGCGTAAAAGCGTCTTCCAAGCATAATACAGTTTTGAAGGTGCTCCCGAAGTATGCGAACCAAGATGGCGGACATCGGAACGTAACATGGGTAACAGGTTAGGGTTAGGCGATAATTTTTTTTTTCAATTTTCCTTATTTTAGTCCTATTATCAGTTCGAAGACTAGCCAAGAGCCTCCCGTAGTATTTATACCGAAAATTATGGCCTAACCCGAACCTAGTACACATATTACATTCCGATGTCCGCCATCTTGGTTCGCATACATCGGGAGCCCCGTTTTGAATATTGCAAATTTAGAAAGCCTGGTTCGGCTAGTTGACATGGTCCACAAGTTGCAAAGATGGAGAATTCCATTGAAATCGAAAGAAGAAGACGCTGTGTTTGACGAATCGGAAAGCAGATCTGATGACGAACAAACGAGAGATAAATCGGATAGAGTTAACACGCCCGGACTTGATTCAGGAATGTCTTTACCAGCTGAAGAGGTTAGAATTTCTTTATGCCTTTTGTACATCAAAGGGGTTGACAAGGTTTTTGTACCAGAAGACAAAAATTTGCCCACTTAGACTGGCGGGCCATGTAAGTATGACGTAAAAATTACATTTTATGAACATAATTTTATTCACAGTGTTACAAAAGCAAAAGTGGAAAACAATAGGACATGTGCCAAAACTAAATTTATTCGCAATCTCAACAAATTCAGATTTTAATAACAACAACTATTTAGTGCATACAGAATTGGTTAAGAGCAGAAATATATGACAGCATCAGTCGGGGCAGATTGAATCACTCAACGGGCCAAATTTGGCCCATGGGCCGTGGTTGTAGCCCATGTCAGATCTCAGCTTTACTTTGTATGCATACTCAGAACAATGGATTGCTATCCCACCAATAATAATTCTTTATAGTCTTCTTCATTTGTATATTGGACTGCAATACACGATGCATCATAATTGAATTTTTATTTTAATTCAATCACCTTAATTAAATTGAGAGAGAGGCTGTGACCGTGCCTAAACGCCCATTATCCAATTTACGGTCTTCGCTGATTTATTGTTGCGTTGCTTTTTACCTCCTGTTAGTTGGCCATGTATGCCGTTGTAGACTTATTAATTTCAGTCAGCCTTGATAAAAATCTACAATGGCATTAAAATCAACACCTTGCTCGTGGTATTGGCATGGTAAATTGTAAAGAATATGTCGCGTGAAGTTTGATACATGAGAAGACATTCTTGTTTCAATACTGTTCTAATACAACATAAAATATTCAATATTTGACCTATGATCTCCTCCGGGAGGGTTAGGAGTATTTGTGTTCTTCATTTGGGTTTTATCGGATTAGAGTATTATTCCATTCATTTCCAGGATCTTGAAGTAGCTGCCGTGTTTGGTTTGAGTCGATCTAGTTCACAACAGTCTGGAGGAAATCTCTTAGCTCCGCGTAGTACAAGCTATGGAAAGGGTGAGAACATTTTGTGGTTAATAAGTTTTTATTTGAATGTTTCAGTGCACTCATAAAATATACCTTTCTGTTTTTGATAAATGTGTATAGTTGCGAAAATGTGCGTATTTCCATATATTTCCTTCCCTAATGACAACTTGATGTAGAGTAGGCGAACAAAATTAGTTACCTCCATATTGGTACAAGTACTTCTTGAGCGCCGAAAAAAGTAAAACTGTTAATTCACAATAACATTTATGTTATCCTCATATGCAGGCAAAAAGAGAAGGAATCACCAAAGTGTTGATTCTGGATTTGTTTCCCCTGTTCCTTCTGGAAGAACACCAGACCCTCATGGACTGGGAACGCGAAAGTATAGAGCCAAACCGCCAAGATCTCCAAGAGGAAGGATACAGAGAAGTTATCCAAAATTGAGAACCCTGTCATCGCTTTCAGCAACTGATATGCAGGAGAGGTATACACTGGTAGCTTTTTTTGAAAGACCACAATGCCTTAAGTGCGCTCCAGAAGTGTGTGTACCAATATGGAGATAACTAATTTTGTTCGCCTACTTTACATCAAGTTTTGAAAAGGGACTTGGCTAATACAAACAGTGCCCGAACTCGGGTAGAACCAAAATAGGGAAAATCGTAATAAAATGATAGTCTAAATAACCCTAACCTGGTACACACACTACGGGAGTACCGTTTTGAGTGTTTACCTTAGAATTTAAAACAAAGATGGTTTGTATTTTGGATATAAATTTAGTTTTGAATGTTGGTTGAAAGTTTCAAAAAATGATTTTGGCGCGACGTATTCGCAAAGTAATTAAAGTAATGGCCTTAGTATTCTATTCAAAATTTCAAAAGATTATATCAACGGTAACCCAATGTTAATCACATCCAGATCAGAATATGACAGGCACTTCAATATGTATAATATAAGAAGCAGGAAATCAGTAAAGCACGGTTCATGATAATGTTACTTGGTTGTATTCAGTCACGTTTTGAGTTTTGATAGAACCCAAAACATTTGAAAAACGACAAATATTATTCCAAATGCGGCAATGTACAACAATAATACCAAACGCTAGTTATGCAAAATAAAAAAGAATGTCTGCGATGTCTGCCTTTAAAAAGGCTGCAACAAGAAACGTATACATTCTAACAAGCAACAATATTTTTACATGTACGTTTATTTAGATAAATTAAATGAATTCTGCTTTACTAAAACGGAAAGTTTTTATGAAAGATATTCAGATACTCCTGCACCTGGTATGTAATACATCAAAGTCGTTTATAGCCGAAGCCTTTTAAATTCATCGAATGTCACTGTATTTATCTATAAACAAAATTCTTTTATCAGCGATAATAGGAATGCCCATGCGAAGCTATATATGGTCTCCTATTACTAATACAAACATTACGAAATAAGAATGTGAAGTCTGGGTCTGACCCAATACGCTTTAAAAATGAATGTGCGGACTTCTAGTTTCATTTTCGGAATGTCAAAAAGACAGTATTTATTTTAATTTTAAAACTTAAATTTTAGCCTTGTGGCGTGGTTGCGGTACTCCTGTAGCATGCGAACCAAGATGGCGGAGACCGGAACGTAGTATGTGTACCATGTTAGGATTAGGCCATAATTTTATTCCAATTTTCCTTATTTTAGTTCTATTGCGAGTTCGGGGACTAGCCAAGTGACTCCCTTAATATTTGTACCTGAAATTATGGCCTAACCCTAACTGGTACACATACAACGTTCCGGTGTCCGCCATCTTGATTCACATACTACAGGAGTATCGTGGTCGCATATTAGCAGCCCGAATTTGTGGTTGCTTTTTCAGAGTATTGTTCGCAGGGGTGATAGGCGCGAAATAGCTCATAACGTACATGATCTTGTTACCCACAGCTTTCGTTGATAAGTACTATCTTCTTAGTAGGAACCATTTACGCATCTTTTTTTAAATGTTTGATATATCGGACGCAGTGACAAAGTTTATTACAGATTGCCGATAAATTGTTGATTTTTTGCCGCGAGTTCCGCTCAATATCTGAATAAATTTACCAGAAATATCGTCCCTAGTATCTGGAGATATGACTAATATAAGATAGCGTGTTGTTTCGCGTCTTTGCTCTATATTATTTGTTAAGGGTTTATTCCCAGACCGAGTTATGACTTAGCTTAACATGTTCGCTACTGTTAATCAAGTTGTGAGATTTTTCTAATTGCCAGATTTGGAACCAGAGATATATATAACACAGAAAATACGCTCGAATAACACGCCAAATAGCAAACCATCTTTTCAAAGATATCGTGAATCTTTTGTACAAAGCCCCCGCCACTGATGTAAAAATGGGATTTGAAAAAAAAACGCCACGTTTTAAAATAAGTATCAGTAATTATCCAGTTAGGGTTAGGGTTCGAGTTAGGAATGATTCGAAAATTCGAAATTCCAGCGCATTCCGCATTCCTAACCCTCACCCCAACCATTACGTGGATAATTACTAATTTACTTGTTGGCGGAGGTGTTCTTTGGCGAGGACTTTGTACAAAATATCCAATATCGCTTTTGAGTTGCCAGTAGGAATGAATGTATGGTCCAAATCGCCAAATAAATGGTCTCCTTTTTAGAGGGAGACTGGGCCGCTATAATTGTATGCTCACCTAAATTTTAACAGCGATGCTTTACAAGGAAATAGTATCCTCCGACATCATAACTTGTCATGTTTCAATATCTCACAAGCCTTTAACAAAAAATTAGCAGGTGGCCGATGTTTATGCATAAACGTTTTATATATAAGAGGAATGTTGTACATAATTTAAATTCCTACAGCAATGTTTGGATTTATACATCGTAACCAGTTTGTCACTTCTCATCCTCTTTAATGTACATTTTTTTTTCGCCCAGTGATTGTGACTTTTTATTTATAATAAATATTGCATCTTTGCAAGGTGAAATCCATTTTCGATTATGCGAACTATTTTTAAATATTGGCTTCTTTGCCCTAAAATAGTGTTTGTAAAATAGTGTGTTTTTTTAATCTCGATCCATAAATCGGCACTTAAATTTTTGACCGCGAAACTAGAGGTTTTTGGCTGCTGATTCGCATAAAAATTCGTCAAATCTAACGTTTTAGCGCCCACTTGTGATGGGAGTGAGATTTGTTGTGGCGCAACAATCAATACCCGATCCCTGATCGTTTTTAGGATATTTTAATATAATTAGACCGCGGAAAATCAACAGACTAACGCTCGTTCAATTTTCGGCGAGGGAAGATAATACTAACAGTCACTTTATAATTATGCCCTTGCAATGTCGAATTCTAATTTTAATGCAATATTCCGTCGTTGTTGTGATATTTTCTATTACACAGACTCGACTTCTGACTCGAAACAGCAACGACTCGATCTGACGTCAGAAAATTGACTCAGAGTTTCAACAATAAAGTTCTTGAGATATACATAGACATGACACGAGTTGTAAAGGACTGATTGATTCGTCATCGGGTCCACAACACTTTTAGATAAGCAGAAAAATAAATATGGATAAAAAACAAATAATAGAGATCGGTAACAATACATAACAATAGAAATAAACTAATTTTTAGTAGCTCACTGGCATACTCTAGTGGTGATAATATTAAAATTAAGTCCGCGATTATTTTATACACTATACAAGACTCGATTCGACTCTCGACTACAATTTCTGAATTTACTGAGACTATGACTTGACAGTCTGATGAACTATATCCGACTCGACTTCCAACGGGTGGTATAAAAACATTGCAGGATGTACTTTAAAGTGAACAGGTCGCATCCAAGTATTATTTATGCGACCGCAGTCAAACATTTGCTATGACTATCTTCTTCCAATTTTTCCTGTCCTTCATTTCACAAGCAAGATTCTCCCGTGGTATTCCCGTGACCTGTACGATTTCTTTCTTGTTTCTATAGCAGTCGCCGCTGAATCTAAGGCGTCTTTCCTTTATTATGGTTATGATGCTTGTCAGTTTACCGTATAGTGTTTTGTTTGGGATCTTGTCATACCATGTTACTCCTTTAAACTACTCCAAGCACTTTTGTGTTGGCGCGTCTAGCTTCATGTTTTCTAAGTATTAAGCTTCAGTAATTTTGAAATTTTCAACTTCACTTTCTTGCAGGATACAAAAAGGAAGAGTCTACAATTACGGTCTGAGTCCAAGAGGAAAGAGCAATGCTTGGGAGAACCGGTCACCGACAATTCTACAAACGGACTACGTTGTTCATCCAAACCATGATAATTTATTCATGGATTATTTGATTTACCAGTAAAACCGCTTTTGAAGAAAATCCATCAAATAAAAACTAAATGAATTTAATTGTAATATATTTTGGATGTTAATGCCGATTTACCAGTAAAATGACTTCTAAAGAAAATCAGACGAATAAAACTAAATCGGTCTAGTATAGTTTAGTACCACAAGTACTTCTAGTGGACGTGGAATAACATTTTTTTGCATATGACATTGGCGTGATTTTTGTATGACGCAGTCAGACAGGTATCAGAAATAACATGTGCAAATATAATATGTGCAAATATAGTTATGCTACGTCTACCAGAAGTGCTTGTGGTAGCATACTGTACCAGACCCAAAAAACAATTTGAATGTAATATAATTTGGATGTTAATGCCGATGTAGGAAATCTGTTTTATTATTTCGTTTAGTTTATTTCTGATACTGCTTCTGAATTATTAATGAAATGTAAAAACCTTGAATAGCACTCAGTTTGTGTGTCGCTCATTAAAACTTGGTAACTAATTGAAATTTTATCAGCATGTTATTGCACAAAAAGTTCACATATCATCAAACTGTTTTTATTTTATGTTTCAAGCTATGAAATACATATGTTTAAGTGGTCCATGTTATATTTTGTTCAGAGTTATTGGTATTAGCTAATAAACTTCTTAAGCTTTGATGGAATATTAGTCCAAAATTGTACTATGCTACTTCGTTAATTATAGTGGATTCATGATAAAGATTTTTCTTCGTTATAAACCAGTGGTTCTTCACCCTTTTTTCATCATTTACCCCTTTAGCGAACAAGATTACAAGATTTACCCCCAATATAGCCATTGGTGATCATTTGTAAACAATTCGTCAAGCGAAGTATAAAGATCTCAAACTTTGTCCAACAACATTTTCTCCGCGAGAGTGGGTTCGGCGAAGAAAGAGTGGTGGGGTAGGAGAGTGACGGGAGGCGGTAAGAATGGAGGGGAAGGAGAGAGTGTTGGGGGGGGGGAATGCCACCGAAGAGTTAGAAATAGGGTTGGTTATATCTGGTCTTAACCGATCTTTGAATATACTCTTTCCATACAAACATTCGATGAAATTGTTAAATCCTGATACAACCATAATAATTGAAGGGAATAGAGTAAAGCGGATGAAGATCCATGGCGGGTAAAATCCATTACTTGAACAACTACATAACGAGTATATTTAGATGCATAGCGCACATTCTCATAGTTTCATTCACACCAAGTTTTAATAGAGTTTATGACAATCTAATTTTACATTTATTCACCACACTTTTGCTACAAGCTTGCACGACTATTTAAGGTCAAAATGTATATGCCACCAATAGTCAACCTCAAAGAAGCGATCACCACAGACAATTTGGCAAACCCAAATTATAAATGGACCAGGTCGTTGAAATCGACAATTTGATCACTGATTGCTGCAAAACCAACAAAGGCAAAATCTCTCACATAACGTTTTCCAATCCGGGTAATGCAACTGTAATTAGAACAACAATCCACGACATGGACAAATCTTAACATCTTTACGCGTCGAATACGTGTTGCGAATGCCAACAACGAAGATGAAACGACACCAGACAAGAGATAAAAAATACAAATCAAGTATGGTCGAGTATCGATTTGTATCAATAAAACGATAAACGGACGTTTCGGTCCACGCAAACGCAGTGATTCAGCGCAGACAAGGGTATCTCCAAACTCTAGTCTGCGTGAGCCGAAACGTCCGTGGACAGAACGTCCGTCAGCCGATAAAACACCTCAAACGTCTATTTAGTAATAGTTTTAAGATATGATTTTTTTAATATTAATAACCTAATATCTGGGAAAATCAAGTGAATTTAAAATTCAAGAACTCCGAACTCCAAACTGGTCAACGTCAAAGCAGCGGCCGCCACAGATAATTTGGCAAACCCAAATTATCGATGAGTCAGGCCATTGAAATCGATGAATCGATCACCGATTGCTACAAAACCACCAAAGGTAGAAACTCTCACCAATTGTTTTCCAATCCAATCCAAGTAAAGCAATTGCAATTAGAATATAACAGTCCACAAATCTCGACACCTTTACGTGTGGAATACGTGATGCGAATGCCAACAACAAAGACAAAACGACGCCAGAAACCGGTAAAAATTATTAATCAAGTACGGTTGCAAATAATCAAATGTGCTTGT